CGCCATCAATTGTAATGTAATTTCAATAGCTGTCAACCGCTGGATTCATGTCGATTTCGCTCGTAAACACGCGTCGGAGGAGCCAGTTAGCCGATTCGATCAGAAAATAGGTTGAAAAAGAAGATAAATCGCGCAACGAAATATTTCCTTCGATTAATACTCGTGTGCATGCTAGCGCGGCTACGAGAAACAGTGTGTGTGGTCGCGAGTTCGAGAATCGATATCAGTGTTATAGGTGCCTCTCCGTTGCGGCGCAATACGCGCAATGTAAAAATCTCGATATCCGACAGCCGTGGTGCTCAACCAGTGACAGTAAAACGCCGAGCCGACGCGTTAAACGAACACGCTGCAAGCGTAATCCTCGGCGGAACATTCTGAAATTTTAACGAAGACTGACTTCCGCCCTCTCTTCGACGTTTTTCCGTCCGCGATGCTTTCTGGGGCATCGATCGCAGATTACTTCGCCGGAACTTTGAAACTGATTACTGTGAAGCGAGCGAGTATTTCGTGAGAGCGAACGTGAGAGGGAGATAGATAGAGAAGGAAAGAGAGAGAGAGAGAGAGAGAGGAAGTCGAAGCTGTTTCACCGACAACGATATAGTAACTACTTTCGGGGAAATATTTTGAGAGTGAAAATCCTTCGGACATCGCACATATTAAAAGCGTCCATAAATAATATCGATCACAAAAGTATCTCGATGAGACTTTGCTTTCTTGAGTATATTGTAAGAAAGTTTAACATATATTAATAGATTATAATTGCTTCCATCCTCACGTGTCTAGTTAGTTAACATGGGGTCAATTTACGTCATATCTCTTTACGCATAAAAGTTACTATCGTCTTTAACAATGTGATATTCGCGTGTGTCGGCAATTCGCAAACGGTGAACTAGCTCTCGTCAAATCATTGACAGATGTTTCGGACTGATAGCTGTTTGATCGATGTTAAAGTTGACAGACTGTCAACTTTAATATGGATCAGACAGTAAACGATATTAATGCTTTATTGCTCTTTAAAACTGCGTATGTGCGTGGCATGCGGTACGAGCGCGCGTAGTATGACAGAGAACGAAGGATATCGAACGTTGAACGTTAAAAACCATTATTTTATTTGATTTAATTCCATTATCTTCGTATTGTGTTTTTTACTGCAGATTCACTGCGTTAAAATGACATGTTAGTATGATTATCAGTCCTAAAGAGAGCGTTCCAAATACAAATTTGTCAGGAATTGGTAATCAGGACGTGTGACATGAAAAGGACAACTTATAAATGAACTTGGATATCAAGCGATTAACATGCGTGTATTCACTTAAAGGGATATCTAAATATTTCGAGATTCTGCACTTATAAACTCTCTCAAAGTATTTTCTTGTGTTCAGAACGGCGAAATATGAGCTATTTATACAATTTTTCACAAAGAAGAAGAAGAAGAAAGCTTCTAATAGCTAATTTCTTTGCGTTCATTATGTTAGATTTGATTATCTCTTTGTAACTTTTTGTCTGTTGTATAGAGTTGTTACTAGCAAAAATATAACTATATGAGAAGAAAACCTTGTTAAAGACAGTGTTAGATTAATTGCAACGTAATAAACTGGGAACTAGAAAGTAGCATGTATTATTCTATACACAAAGAGCGCGTCGCTCGTTAAGACGGTACACAGGGAGCGCTATTTTGATGAGCAGCCACCTTTCGTAAGAATTCTCGAAGAGCTCCTCGCTGGCGCTCGCCAGTAATTGAGAAACAGCCATCGGCCGCCGTAAAGCGTAACGTAGAAAAATACGCAGTGCCCATGGCAGTTTCGCAGGGAGGCTTTTTCTCGTACGTCCGAGAATAACTCACGATCGGTCGGCGATCGGTAGGACGGCGCCTAGAGGAGGTAAGGTCTGAAAACGAGGGGTCTAAGAGACAGAGAGAGAGAGAGAGAGAGAGAGTTCTCTCTGAAATCTGGCCTCTCTGAGAGGATATCTCGCGCGAGACCGGGCGATAAATCGAATGACTTATTACTGCGAGCCGCGTAATCTCGGACTCACGAAGAAATGTGCGAGCCACGTCGTCGGAAATAGATGTGTCGCTGGCCGCGAACTAGACCCGGTCGCGTACCAAAAACGTGAGCCATGAATTTTACATCAGCATCTGACTGAGGCTAGCGAAGTCTCAATCGACATTAAATCGGGACCGCAGACAGCAACGAAGAAAGAATGGAGAAGCTGCCCACCGTCCTCCGCTCACCGCTCGCCGATTGATTTACGACTGACACGGTGCAACGAGAACGAGGAAAGCAATGATCGATCAGTAAGACTTACGGAGCTAGGCCGGCTTGATAACGAAAAGGGAAACAACGTGGGGAGAATTTCATAAGAAGTACCGCGCACCGATGAGAGCAACAGCGAGATACAGACTTTACGAGATAGTCGCTCGATTACGTATTACGATCCCATCGCAATTCCATTTTCATTTGATGCGAATACAACACGGAAGTTATGACATTCGATGGGTCGCATGATACAGACGATAAAATATCGCACGTGTGCACACACACACACACATACGCGTATCGCTAGGGAATAATGATTCGGTATATGTGCACGACATTTCCGCGAAAATTTGTCAAGCCGTTAACACCCAGATTATCTATACCGAAAAGATTTTATCGCTTCTGCGAGCGACCTTTAACACATGAGTGGTGATGGCGAAGGGATATTAATGCCCCGACTCCGTCTCAACGAACCAATAAATTCCGAGTTTAAATCCCGCAGTTTAACTTTAGCGCTGCCGAACGATGAGCGCGCGCGAGTTCAGTCGTCGCACGGTATTTCGCCTCAGAATGTTTATCGCAGAACTTTGGTATTCCCGCTGACTTATGACTTTGCATATTTCTCCGTCCAAGTGAAGTCACGTTTAACCTTCCGACCGTATTCGTTTTCAGCGTACGCTGACTAAGCCAGAAAAGATACAGTCTTAAAGTATTCTATTACTTTATTAAAATGTACGAGTGCCCGCTCTTTTCTTCTTCCCTCGCGGAATTTATACGTACGAACGTTACTAAAGAGCGGAAAATTTTTCGAGAACGTTCAGAGCGAATCGAGCCCGAGGAGAAAGTCAGGGACCAAATTTCCGAACATTTTCACCTTTCGACACCTTCCGCGCTGATTTCGACAGCACGCCGGGGAAACCCTTTCGGAGATCGCAAGTTCAATTCCCAACGGACGCAGTCCGTAACCGCGCAGATTAACGTCGTAGAAATCCGCGAAAGAGCCAACACATCGACCGCATCGAAACTTTGCCATAACTGTTCGCGACATGTCGATGTTTTTCCGAGGGAGTTTCTCAAACCGCGCGATTTCATTCCGGCCGAGTCGCGCGCGGGCGCGCCGCGAAACTTCGTTGACCGAACGGAATGTTTTGCCGCGGCCGAGTGCCGATGCGCTGTGATGGCAGATTGCACTCAGTGCACCGCGGCCGCGGTGATTCTGTTATACGTTGCACTGTCACCGAACGCGTCGCCCGTAATTATGATTGACGAGCCGATTTATTATATGCGTATATACGCGCCACTTTCAGCGTAATCAGTTGCGCGTAAATTACATAAACAGCAATACATGCCCCCCTCTCCTTCGCATATATATATATATATATATATATACTACACTATATATATATA